TATTATTCTTGTTCACCAAAAAGATTGACAATGAATGAATGAGTGGAAACAAGAAGAAAAAAAAATTCAATCAAATGGAACCACAAAAAAAAAGTTTTCAAATCTAAGAAAAAAAATGATGATAATTTCAATTCAGATATGATTATTATTATTATTTGGGGTTGGTGTTTGCCAACTGCTGTTTGCCTATTTGGGTATGATTATTTCTGGTGAATAAAAAATCGAAAAAAAATAACACAATCAAAAGCAAAAAAAAAAAAAAAAAGAAAACTAAGAATTCCCATCACACAATGTTGATCAATTCAAAGATTCATCAAAAAAATTTTTTCCCCATTCTGTGATCAAAAATGATGATGTTTCATATTTTTTTTTTGCTATAGCCAAATCAATGATGATGATGATGTATTATTTTTGCTTTCTGATTCATATTGTTTGTTTGTTTGTTTGTTTTTCTATTTCTATATATTTGATTGCTTTTGTTCAAAGTTCATAGTTCAAATCATCATCATCTGAATAGACAAATTCTTATATATTCAACATAGTACTTTATGAATTTTTACAAATTTTAGTTTTTGTTTCTGGCCATAATAAATCATCGTACAAAACTAGAAAAACAAACAAACAGATTCTATTTTCATTTGTTTATCTATTATATATCGATAGATTAATTATGTTTTTCTACCTTATTCATCATCATCCACATCATTTTGATTTTGACCTTTTTGTTTTCTCTCGACAAACAAATCAGACAGAATTGATGTAAACCTTGTAAACAAATTTATGCACCAACACATCACAAACACACACACAATTAAAATACATTGGGCCGCCTGTTGTTTGTTTCGATTATTGACAAAAAAACAAACAAACAAACAAATTTAGCTAATCTTTCTTTCTTTCTTTCATTTGATTTGAATCCAAATTCTTCAAATCTTTTAGATAAGCAAATCGTTTTTTTCACCTTTTTTTCAATGGCAAGTTGAAAATTTCTAAAATTTTCTACATTGAGAAATCAATATCCTGAATTGGATTGATGATGATGATTCTGTCCATGCATGCATACATAAAAATTCATAATTTTCTTATCATTTTTCATCGTTTTGCTTTGGTTTTGTTTCACATAATTATATGTATTATGAATTCTGTTCAAAATATTGTTTCTCAAAACAAGTGTTTAGGGAAAAAACATTTTTTTTGAATACTTGAAAACCAATGATTATTATGCACAATTTTTTTCATATCTTTGTAGACTTCTGGTCTTGTGTGAATGCACACACAAACACACAAACAAAAGCAATTCAATCGATCGATTTCGATGTTTCGCTATTTCGGTTTTTTGTTTTTGTTTCAATCAAATCGGTCGAAGTAAAAATGATTTGTTCTGAAACAAAAAAAAAGACAAAAATTCAAATATATTGATCTACATATAATATTCATTTCCAAAGGTAGTAATAGCCTCCAGTAGTCATTTTTTTAAAAATATATCCAGTAGTCGATAATAATATTCGTTGTTGTTTTTTACCAAACACCAAAATTATGGTCAGTGAAATTTGGACTCGGGAAGAGAGAGAGAAATGACTATAACAAATTAGTTTTTATTTTTTCTCTCTCTTTTATTGAAATATATCTTAGCTTTTCGATTCATATATTGATATCAATCTTTGAATTTGGTATGTATATGTTTGTCTAGCCAGATAGTCGTCATAACGAAAAAAGAAAAAAAAACTAATCATCAATTTTTCTTCAAATCTTGTTGCTTGCTTGCTACCGTCCAATCAATTGATGGCCACCGAATGATCAAACAACTTAAACTACCTTTTTTGTTGATGATGATCATCATCATCGTCAAAAGTGATCGTTGTTGAAGCTTTACAACGATTTTTGTTTTTCTTCAACTTCACTCGAAATAAATGGTGGTATCTCGGGTCAATTTCAAAGAATTTTAAGAAAAAAATAAATTCTTTTTGAAATAAATTTAAAAACGAAAAAGTCCGATTAAAGAAAAAAATTTCAAGTTTTTTTTATTACCAAAAAATATGGTTAAAATTGAAAATGTTTTTCAAAGTTTTTTTGCAGGTTTCTCCTTTTTTGCTTCTTTGTCGATAAATGGTTTTTTCTTCTTTCGTTGTTGTTTGCGCAAATAATCATTTTGATTTTGAAAAAAATTCTTAATCGAAATGAATAAAAAGCAGCAAACAAAAACATCTTTTAAAGTGCAAATGAAATTGGAAAATTTATATTGTTATTTATGACCCTGTGATGATGATGATACTTGAATGATGATTGGAATAAGTAAAAAAAAAAAAAGATTTGATGGTCAATGCTTTTTTCCATCCTCTCATCTTTGATTTTATAAGTTTTCTTCTTTCTTCTGGTTTGAGGATTTATTTTACGTTTGTTTTACACACATTAAAATCGGTCGATTGATAAGCTTTAATTGTCTATATTCTATGATGAAGATGATGATGTTTAAATTGATGCCATTTCTACCCAAAAAAAAACACTCTTCATCTTCATCTTCCGAACCAATATGAAGACGATAATAAAAACTCATCACCATGATTTGATGTGTGTTTGTTTGCATAAATTTTTAATTCTTCTTTTTTCATATTTTCTTTTACAGACTTATTTTTTCACCGATAACAATGATCCATATTATCGAAAAAAACTTGGTAATCATATTGTCAATACGAATTGTTCGGTTTCACATAACAGGTATGTATTTCTTTTTTCTATAAAATTTGGAATGGTTTTTTTTGAAAAAAAACATGATCATCATTGAAACGAAACAAAAATAATGATCATGATCATGGTCAACAGAAAAAAACGGATGATAGTGAATGACAGGCCAGGTGTTTCGTTGAATGTAATTATTGTTGTTTGAATATAAACAGAAAAAAAAGATGAAAACAAAATTAAGTTCGTGCTTAACACACGTCATTTTTATTTTATGTTTTTTTTAGAAGAAAAATTCCTTGAATAAAAATTTCTAGTTTAGTTAAAATGTGATGATGGATAATTGGATTTTGCAAAAAAAAAATGGCACGTTCACGATTTTTTTTCATGTTCATCTCTGTCCACTCTTCGCTATCTTTATGTGAATAAAAGCACGTGCTTGTTTGTCCATAATGAAACGGTCAAAGATCAGGTCAAATTTATTTCTTTCATAATCTTCTTCACTATAGTATGATCTAGTTTTTGTGAATTCCAATGAGGATTCCATGTTTTTTTTGTTCACGGAAAAACAAAAACAAAGCAGTTTTTAATAATGATTTTACAATTTTTTTTTCTATAGGAAAGCATTATGCTGTAAAATGAGCGTCGAATTTGATTATTATATTGATAGTGATAAAAAATGGTGGTGCCATTTTGATGATGATAATTATGTAAATATACCAAGATTATTATCATTATTACAACATTATGATCCAATGTATGATTGGTATCTTGGTAAAACCAGTATAAAACATCCACTTGAAATTGATGATCGTGAATTTAAGGTAAGAAAAAATCTCCTCATGAAAAATTGTACATTTTAATTATTGCAAAATTCCTTACGAAAAAATCAAAGTAATCAGCATCGTTTAATTAATGAGATTTCTTTTCTTCTTCTTTCTTTATTTATCCACTAAAAGAAAAAAATTCATTTTTCATTCGCTACTGGTGGTGCTGGTTTCTGTATATCAAGATCATTGGCATTAAAAATGATTTCGGTAGCAAGGTTAGTATTATTTTTAATGTTAACAACAACAACAACAAAAAAAATAACAAATCAAAAATGAATCCATGTCTAAAACGGACATAATAACAACATTATTTGAAGATAGAAATCTTGTTGACAAGTTTTTGTTTGTTATGATTCCATACTATATTTTTAGTCCCTAATTATCGATTTCCGACTTGTTGATTCTTAAATGATTTTTTTTGTCGTTTTTTTTTCTCTCTCGTTGTTGTTTTTGTTATATGGTTGGTTTATCTCAAAATTATTCAATACACACGCACACACAAACAGTAATGGACAATTAATTTCCGTTGGTGATCGTATACGTCTACCGGATGATGTTACAATTGGTTACATCATTGAACATATGTTAAATAAAAAATTAACAGTAATTGAAGAGTTTCATTCACATCTTGAACCGATGGCAATGTTGGAAAAAAATTTACTCAAAAATCAGGTATATTTTAATGTTGTCGTCTTTTATTTTAAATTTGCGATTCTTTAGCTAAGTTAATAGTTGTTTATAAATAAAACTTTATTTCCTGCGAAATGGTCACGGTAGAGTGATTTTTTTTCACTATCATTTTTTGACCGCCCATCATCATTTTCATGAATCTAAATGTTCATTATGAATTTTTTCTTTCTTCTGTTGTTCATACAGGTTTCATTCAGTTATTCGGGTAACAATCTGAATCGAAATGTTTTACAACTTAATCAACTTGATTCAATTCATAATGATTCAACAAGGTAAGTAATTGTTTTTATTATAAAAAAAATAAATTCTTAATGAATATTTTAATTTAATTTCTCAGATTTTATTCGCTACATTGTTATCTGTTTCCCGAATTATGTCGATGGAAAAATCATCGTTAAATAATAATTTTCAAGTGGCCTTTTTCTCATTCACAATTTTGAATTTCATTTTGATTTTTAGAAAGCTTTATATTGTTGTTCTTTATCAACATTACTGTGATTGTTATTTTTGTTTATTTGTTTGTTTGTTTGTTTGTTTGTTTTATATTGTTTTTATCTATTTAATTCAATAAAATATCAATAAATTTTAATTTACAAAATTGTTGTTGCATTAAAAACAAAAAATCACCAAATAATTTTTCGGGAGGAATGGCGTTATGTACGTACATTATTTACAGCGCTTAATACAGTGATGTTACGACATAACATTTTATCAAATAATTTTATCCATTTTTTGATAAGATAATCCATGGATGATGAAAAATTTTCAAAGATTATGATGGATAAGTGTTATTTAAAGCTAATAGATAAGAATTATTGCCGCTAATTTAATGACAATATAAAATAATTAATAAGCAAAATTGAGAAAAATGTTATTTGAGCTTAATCATATCGTGAATACTCTGTAAAAGAGTTTTGCCACGGCATACATAATCGTTACGTTTGCGTGTATTGTAAAGTTTAAAGAATTGTCTTTATTTATAAATTTTTTTTTACAATTTTTTTAGTTTTTTATTTAAAAAATTCTTATTGTTATTAATTAATTATGGCTACATCGCTAAATGATCCAAGTCAAGAAGAGACGGCACAAATTTTAGCCAAACTTCGTTCCAACAATGCCAACAAAGTTTGTTTTCATCTTGTTTTTCCATTTTATTTTCTTTTGCTAAATAACCGGAATTTCGTTTTTTATTTAGACTTGTTTTGATTGTGGTAGCAAAAATCCATCCTGGGCAAGTGTAACCTATGGTATTTTTATTTGCATTGATTGTTCGGCAATCCACCGGTCATTAGGAGTTCATTTATCATTTGTTCGATCGACAATGCTTGACGCAAGTTGGTCTTTATCACAATTAAGAGCTATGCAACTAGGTGGCAATGCAAATGCTGTAAGTTTTTTTTAATTGTTTTATGATTCTTTTTCGATAATCGAACTTTATATCCGTTTTGGAATATAGCAAGCATTTTTTCAAAATCATAATTGTAATATCAAAGATGTACATCAAAAATACAGCAGTCGTGCTGCTCAATTATATCGAGATAAATTAGCCGGACTGGTAGCAAATTCTATTAAAGTTTATGGGGATACAATTGAAATTCCAACTTCTAAATCCGAATCTATTAGACATGATTCCATGGAAGATGAATCAACGAAAGATTTTTTTGAAGAAGCATCAAACGCTGCTTTATCACATTCGAATCTACATAGTGGTGATGTATTTTTATCGGACAGAAAATCACCAAATATCAAATCATCTACTGAAGGGCCCAATGTTAATCTAAGTTCGATTGATTCGGGTGCCAAATTAAGTGAATATAAATCAACCGTAATTGGAAAAAAATCTTCATCTAATCGGAAACCCGTTAAAAAAGGTTTTGGTGCTCAAAAGGTACAAACTGATTGGGATAAAGTCGAACAAGAAGCATTGCAAACTGAACAGATGAAGAACAAATCTGTTAGTGATGATTCTTCGACAAAATTGACAGCGGAGGAACAAGAAGAGAAGTTAAATTCCATACGATTGGCTTATAAAGAAAAACAAAAACAAGTTGAAAATAAACTGAAATCCGATCCGAATAAAATCTCTCAAATTGAACGACTTGGTATGGGTTTTGCCAATTCAGGTCGAACAAATAAATCACATTCTGCAGTATCCGATATGACAGTTATTGAACAAGGCACTAATCCTGTTGTTACTTCGTCAAAATCGAAGATTGACACAATCACCGATCTAGGATTCTCGTCATCATCAACAACATCGTCTAATAATCGATACAAAGATTTTGTCAAATCGAATGACGATTTCTGGAGTGATAATGGATTATTGACTGATAATGGTAAAAAAGTGAAAAAACCACAAGTATTTGACACTATACAGACAATCGATTTAAATGTAAAGAATAAGAATAAACCAAAGCCTATTGAAGAATCAAATAATACACATTCAAATAAGAATGGTGGTAGAACTACATCATCTTCATCATATTCATCATCTTCAAATGATGCGCAGAAAAAATTTGCTAACGCAAAAGCAATTTCCTCGGAACAATATTTTGGTGGTGATCAATCTAATGTACGTTCTAGTTTTTGAATTGAAATTCTTTATTTAATTATTATTTTTATTATGATAGCTTGATTCTAGATCTACTGGTCGATTCGAAGGCTCAACAAGTATAAGTTCTGATGATTATTTTAACCGTAAAACGGTACCGAATCATTCGATTTCATCGAACTTTAATTCAACTGCTATGTATGATCTAAAAGAAGGTGTTAGGGATAATGTTTCACGGTTAGCTGGTCGTTTATCAAATCTGGCTACAGATGTTGTCAAATCTATCAACAAAATGGATATCATGCAAGGTTAAATCTAATAAAAAACAAAAAAAAAATCGCCGAATCATTCGCATTTGTATTGTATTTTTTATACTGATACACATACACTAACACTAACCATCCGGCACATCATTAGATTTTTTTTATATATTTCGAATGATAAGAATGTTTTTACTTTGTTATATACAATTTATATTCAAAATAATTTTGCGATAATCTTTATTGCCATACACATCCATCAATTGTGAATTAAATCAACACAAAAATTTATTATCCACATTGGAGGGAGAGGGAAATATTGAACAGATTGTTATATTTGTGAAAAAAAGATTTGTTAATTTTGTTTGAATAATTTTAATGCGTTTGTGTTTCACTTTTTTTAAAAAAAATTTGGGAGTAAAATGATCCAAGAATTTTCATTTTCCTACCAACAATAGATGGCGGTCATTCTTACCTTTTTTTTGGGATTCATCTAAATTGATACCACTACACTATTGTATCCAACGCAAACTCATCGACAACAATTTTGTTGGATTTCTTTACTTCCATTGATAGGCATTTAACTTTCTCTCTTCTTCGAATATATTAATTTTTGGTTTGATAGTCATCATTCATCTTTATATAATTTTGTTTTGTCAACAGTGAAACGAATTATAACGCAAACACAAAACAAAATACACACCTAAATCAATCAAAATAACAGTAATATTTTTAAAATGATTTACAATTAAAATAATGTCATAATTTTTCTTAACTTTTTATGACGATGTTTTATTTCCAATCATTATAATCATCCTCAATTGATCGATTTTTTTAAGATCTTTAATTTGAATTTATTTTTTCGTTTGGATATTCCTTCGAATCATTGCATTTTACTCTTCATTTGACATAATAACAGCATTTCAATTGCGGCTTCGATATATTTTTTTTTCATTCGTGACAAAATGGCCGATTTACTTCAACGTTTTAGTGGTAATCCATTTTCCACTTCAGTTGGACAACGAATCGGTAATATTTCGCCTTTTTTGTGTTTCGATTTTTTTTAAATCTGATTTTTGATTATGTACAGAACAAGCAACAGATCCATCATTGGACAGTGAAAATTGGGCATTGAATATGGAAATCTGTGATATAATTAATGATACTGAAGACGGGTATTTATTTTGTTTGATTCAATTTTTGTTGATTGTATTCTTCAATCATTTTATCTTAGTCCCCGAGATGCATTACGCGCTATCAAAAAACGTCTTCAACAAACGGCTGGAAAAAATTTTACCGTTTTTAAATTAACTTTAACCGTGTTGGAAACATGTGTGAAAAATTGTGGCAAACGATTCCATATATTAGTGTCAAGCAAAGATTTCATTCAAGATTTAGTCAAATTGATTGGTCCAAAAAATGACCCACCCGCTGAAATTCAAGAAAAAGTTTTAAGTCTCATTCAAAGTTGGGCTGAAGCATTTCATGGTCAGCCAGAGATGCAAGGTGTATCCATTGTTTATAATGAATTGAGAAACAAAGGCATTGAATTTCCTAAATCATCAAATGAACCGAAAGTACCAATTTACACACCTCAAAGACAAATAAGTCCTGCATTTAAAAATCAAGAGATGGCATCAAGTCCTCCCAAACATCCAATGCCAGGTACCTCACCTACTAACCAAGTGACATCGGCTACAAGAGCCACAAGTGAATTATATCCAATACATTTGAGCCCAGAACAGTTGAACAAATTGAAAATCGAGTTGGAAGTAGTTCAAGGAAATATGAAAGTTATGAGCGAAATGTTGACCAAAATGAAACCCGGCCAGGAGCATAAAGATGATTGGACATTGTTAATCGAATTGAATCAGACATTAGTATCTATGCAAAAACGTATCGTGGATCTTATTGAGAAGGTTGCCAATGAAGAAGTTACCAGTGAATTATTACGTATCAATGATGAACTGAATAATTTGTTTATGAGATTTGATCGTTATCAGAAAAAACGAGGCGGCAATAATGATGGTGATCAAAGAAAGACTGATATCGATTTGATGCCATCCACTTCATCAAAATTACCTCATCCAAATCCGAAAAATATGAAATCAATAAACCCACCATCGTTGATTGATTTCACTGATGAAAATGAGGGACCAGATTTGATCGATGGCCTGAAGAAACTTGATATGAATTCATCTCAATCACCTCAAATGATAAAGCCTTCCAATATCTCAACATCATCATCACAACAGCCTACAGAAAATATGGGAGACAAAGAATTCGATATGTTCGCCCAATCAAGATCATCGACAACAGCCACTACGTCATCATCGATCATTAGTCAGGCATCATCTACATCAAAGCCAACAAATATTGGATCCCGTCCAAAAGATCCGGCACCATTACTATCGACTGAAGAAGTTAGAATTAATTTGAAATTTTAATGATATTTTTGTTTTGATTGTTTCCTAATAATTTGTTTAATTCTCAGGGACAGGAAAAAGAAATGGAAGAAATCGAAAGGTGGCTAAATACAAAACCCGGTGAACCATCCATGTCATTCGAAGCGTTTCTTGAAAAGCGAGCCAATGCATTGGACAAGCAACCATTAAAGAAACCTAACAATAATGGTCAAGATCCAAGTTTAATATAGTGAATAATCTACATTTGTGTGTGTGTGACCATCAAACAATAAAACATTTCGTTGATATCTTGTGCATTTTATTATTATTTACACTTGTTAATAATTATTTCATTGATCGAAAATAAAATTGAGTCAGTAATAAATGGTGAAAAAGTCTTATTTTATGAAAGTATGTTGGAAAACTTCTGAATATTCATAATCTGAAATGGCCTTGATGCTAAATTGACCAGTGGCCAATGCAATTTTAGCTGCGATCAAATGTTTGCACCATATTTGTTTATCAAATTCGATAAAATTGAATGCAAATGACGGGCAATCACAATGATTAGATTTGACAAAGCAATTATGATGACGACCCTTTTCTTTTTCTTCAACACGCATAATGTAACGACCGGAAGGCGTAATTAATTTTTTAATATTTTCTTCATTGTATAAATTGAGAACATTAATAAAGAATGGGCCAAAAAATGAAAAAAAACTACAAAAAAGGAAATGATAATGAAAATTGATTGGTGCATTCTGAAGAATTTACAACTTACCCCAGAATCAAATTATCTGATACTGAATAATTTTAAAAAATTAATCATTTAACCAAAAGACAATATCATTAAACTTACATTTTTTAGTAGCTACTAATTGTTCATAAAGATTGTCGAAAATTTTGATAGTTAGGGAACTCATTTTTTATTCGATTTTGAATAATTCTTGTTTTTTTAATTTGAAAGTATCGAATGAATTTCCATACCAAGAAACTTTCTTCAAGAATAATTCCGCGGGAATATTCCGAGGCTTTTTTTTGCAATTTCAAATAATTCTTTTTTGGATCTTTTATGATCCAAATATGAATACTAATGTTCAGCAGACAATTTTATTATTCATATTGGCTTATTTAATCATTTTAGTTTTTCTTCTCAAAGCAAGCAACAAGGATTTATTTCCAAATCAATCAGCTGAGCTTCATCCAACAACTGGTCTTATTTATGAATTTGAAAATTTTCAAAATGATCTATTTGAAACGGTAAAAAATGTCTGTCTAAGTTTTGATGAGTTAATTATATTCAGTGAAACATTCATTTATCCACCAATTGATTTTTCTACAATTTCTGATTGTTCTTTAAAATTAATCGAATTGGAAAAATCTTTAAGTGATAGTTATGATCGAAAAAATCTTTACAGTATCATACAAAACGATTATTTGTTCATCTTACCTGATTCCACTAGAATCGTTCCAAATAATTTATTGTCGATCGATGTTCTGGTATCCAAGATAAATCTAATCAAAGCTGATGTTTTGTTACTACCGTTTTCAAAAGAAAGCATAACCTATTGTGACCATTTCAACTTTGATATACGTCGTTGGACATTGAATTTTGTCGATAATGGAACAAACTGTCTTTACAGAAATGTGAATGATGGATTTGCTGTATTTTTACCAAAAAGGATATTTTTCAAATTATCTCATCCTTTGCTTCGCCCATTTGTGGAATCATTTTTGATACAATCACAAGTATTAAATTTGAAGATTTCCATCCTTGAATCGCCTTTATTTTTGGAGTATGGATCGAAAATATTCTCAGATCATCACACAAAAGCTAAACATGATCATTTGGAAGAGCAACGTCACAAAATAATGTATGCCAAATTAGGTATTAAGAAGATTGTTAATAAAGATAATTCGATCGAATGGTATGGCTGTGATCGAAATCGACCAAGATGTTTTGGTTCGATTATGAACGACATTCCAGAATATTTGATCCAAAATCGTTGGCTTCCACCTTGTTGTCGACGTAATCTAGAAATAACTGGACGTTATGTTTTCAATTTGTTAGAGAAATTCCATATTCGTTATTGGCTTGAAGGTGGATCGTTGCTTGGTGCAGCTCGTAATGGCCAGATTATTGATTGGGATTATGATATTGATATCGGCATCTATCAGGAAGATATGTACAAATTATCCATTCTTCAAGTTTTATTCGAAAAAGCACCTGGTTTTCGTATTGAAGATGGACAAGGTTTTGTTTGGGAAAAAGCTTTGGAAGGAAATTTCATTAAAATTCATTACAGTTTAATCAATAGGATACATGTTGATATTTTTCCATTCGTTTCTTCAAACGGTACAATGACAAAGGATACTTGGTTCGAAAATCATCCACAAGATATGCCTTTTCCCGAACACTTTTTACAACCTTTGGAACAGATATCATTTATTGGTATCAACGTAAGCGCTCCGAATAATGTTCGACAATTTTTAGAAATGAAATTCGGATCGAATGCCATCGAACAGCCTCGATATCCGAATAATAAAAAGACAGACTATGAATAAGAATTTTATCATTTTATTTATCAAATTATCTAACAAATTCGATTTAAAGATAAATAAAATTATCGTGATGAATGTCATTTTAATATTAATATAACAAAAATAAATGAGCCAATTTTTGTACCAATTGCATAGTTTACGTTTCCTCTTTTTTATCATCATTTTTATTATTAACCGAAATTCTCCCACTAGTGCTGGTCGTGGCCAACATAATATCCGTTTCTGAACTGTTTTTATTATTTTCATACAAAAGAATGTTCAGCATTTCTTCATAGATACGAGCTTCAGGAAATTCCACTTTTGTATGTTTCTTATCTGTAGCATAAACGATTGAAGTACAACAAATTTCTGCATCTTTTTTTCCATTACCATAAAAACTCCAACAACAGATCTCATTACTACAAACGATATCTTTCATGAACAGAACACGATTACAGAATTTCAATGAAAGTTTATCAAACAAATCTAAATTCTTGAGAAGATTCTCATCGGATGCACTGGTATAGGAATATTTATTGTTATGGCGATTAAAGATCAATTTAATGGCTGGCTTATTGGTCAATGCTAACAGTTTGGACTCTTCGGATTTTGATCGTATCAACTACAACAATGGAAAAAATGAGAAATTAAACAATTAAATTATCAATTCAAATTTACATACCGGAACTGAACAAACAGGTTCCATAATTTTGCATTCTTTATGTTTTTTCAATGTGGTTTCACATATATCGATCAGATCTTGTATAAGATAATATTTGGCTTCAATCAAAATTTCGGTCAATTCAGGTTGATTATCTGGTAATGGAATACTACCATCGCGTAGAAAATTTAAGATTTTGCCAAAATGTTTTCCACAACGATCTATAAGAATCCATCCTGGAATGTTGGCCATAATACATAATAACATCGTTAGTTTCAATTTTTGATTTTCTCTAATGAATTTGTTACCTTCATCATCTTTGTACACATCCATACGTCCACTGAACATTGCCCGTAACATTGAATCCACTTTGGTCAACGTACTGATCGTTGTATAATACTAACATTGATGAATTTATCAAATTATAATTTTAATAATACGTATGCAATAATCTTACCAATGTTCCACCAACATTAAGTTTAATATAATCATCACTCTATGAATGCAAAAAATAAATAAGATAATTAAATGAAAAACATCGAATTTAGAATAGAAATGAATACCCGAATAGGAAGTAATTTTTGATCATCAAAATTATCCATTTCTTCTCAATCGACAATTATTCAACAAAACGTATACATGCAAAGAAAATGATTGTTGCAATAATTAAAATTTCAATAACAACATCAAAATGTTATTGTGACACATACAATGCTGATACGATAATTTTTGAATAATAGATGGCGTTATAAAATTCTAGGAATTTGTTTTCAAAAGATTTAAAATTTTTAAGATAAAATTTTGTATTTTATTACGAATTTAGAAAAAAATTAATTCTTGTTTTACAGCCATTACATTCATTAATTATATACACACATTTTATCATATTATAATGTGTTTTAAAAATGATAATTACGAAACATAATCTGGATTTTTACGAAGAATGACAAAACCTTCGAGTATAGGTGTTAATGGCAAATATTCTTCGGTGGCTAATTCGGCACGTTCACCAATCGATAACAAAACAGGTGTAGTATGCGTTTGAAATCCAGTAATTGTTTTCGGTTTTCCCGCTTGTCCAACAACATCGACTGCCTGACCAACACGAACTGGTACCGGTAATGGATTCAATTGTTCATCGAATGTGATCAACATTCGTGGCTGTATTGCTGGCACCAAGAAGTAGATCAAATAATGTGCCTTCAGAATCGTATACTTTGGATCGATCAAGCTCATCAAAACAATGAGCAATCCACCCAAAGCAGTGGGCAACAATAGTTGACGATCCGAATGAAACGGCGATAATGTCAATGTTCCTTTGCCCAAGTGAGTTAGACCTTGAGCTAATCGAACCATGAATAAACAATTCGGTTCTTTAACATGATATTGGGCCAATTGACGAAGCATTGTAGCTAATCGAGCATTGTTAGTTCCAGCGCCAATCAATCCCATAGCAAAAATAGCATTGCAAGCAACTTCAGAATCAGAATCATGGCTAAATTTGCTCAACGTTTCGAGAAGATTCAATTTAGGATTCGAAATAGATGTCAATGCCAAAGCTAATGGAACCGATCGTTTAACCATTGAATCACCATAACGCAATAAATGTCCGAATGTTCGGAAAGCCATTTCACAGCTAATATCTTCGGACATGGCAATCAAACCAATACCAATGGTAGCGATAGCCTGTTGAATATTGAATTCCGAATTTGATGAATTATTATCGGTACTGTTACTTTTTGAATATGAACTACTCTTCCTTGACGATGATGATTTTGAACTTGAGCTACCGCTACTAGTGCTGCTGTTGCTAGAGCTAGAAGATGAAGAAGTCGATGAAGTTGTTGTTTGTTCCGTACTGGAACCACTTGGTTCATCGCTACTTTGTTCATCAGATTTACTGTTGGAACAAATATGCAATAAAGATTGAATTTTCAATACGTTTCCAGTGGCAGCATAAGCGCATACTTCCACTATTGTTTTGGCCATTGCTTTAAATTGTTGATTTTGGATCACTTCCAATGCTTCGATAATAGCTTCACTACTGTTTTGTTTTCCAAGAATACAAAGACCCAAAGCGAATGGTAAAAATCGTGCAAAATAATCTTTGACGTCAACATCAGATTTTTCAATCAATAATTGAATGATGTTTGATGTAACTTCGCTATTTCCAGATCCAACTGCAATCAAACCACAGGCTAAAGCGGTAACACCAATTACTTCGATTGAAGCTTTCTCAAACAAAACAGGTGTAAGCAATGAGATTAAATCTGCTCGATTACTTCCAGCATAGGCTAAGCCAAGACCAAGAATGGCACCGATTTGAATAGTATTCGAACTGTTGGTTACATAATCGGCCAACAAAGCCAATGCAGGATCACAATCATTTTTTACGCCACTGTTAACAATACCACAAGCTAACAAAGCACCGGCTTTAATATTATCTTCTTTTGAATAAAGATATTTATCGATTTGTGCTAGGCCACCATCAACATCCCATAATAAAATTAAACCCAACGAACCGGTAGCGCTGAACATGCCTAAATCTTTGTTTTTGTACAGCCATTTGTTTCCTTCATCATTCAATAGGACTTTATCTTTGCCGAATGCTGCATTAACAAAACCATTTACGAATGAAGATGCCAGATTATAACGTGCAGAATCGACACTTGTACTATATAATCGATTCGGTGCTTCTAAATGCGATTTATAAATATCATCAGGTGTTTTTGGTTCCATAATATCCAATTCACGAGCTAATGTCAAAAAATGTGTATTCAAATGTGAATTGGATGAAATATCCAACAGATCATTGTTATCCATTTCCAATATAATTTGTTGACGGCCAATCATGTAAGCGATTTGTTTTTGAATCGACGAATCTTTTTTGGCATTATCAAAAATTTCCTGAAGAGAATCGATATCTTGCAATTGCATAGCTACACGACAAGCTTCGGTAAGTTTATCGAATTTCAAAAAGATGGACATGATCGTCTTCAATAGGTTAGTGTTATCTGGGTCCGGTACAAATGGAACTACACTACGCAGATATAAGCAAACTTTTTGACACAAATCTTCGTTATCGATGTATTTGTCAAGAAGATCAAGACGTTCGATTTCAATCAATAAATCACAAGCTTCAGCTTCAGCATTATGACGCATATTATATGGGATAATTTCTTCGACCAAATTAAGCAATTTTTCTTTGTAATCATCAGCCAATTCATTGGTAGATTGAAATTCGGATGCAATTTCACCCGAAATATGGCGAACATATTCATGGCCCCATGATCCAATCGATTCAACTTTGCTTCCAATTAAACGAAATTTAAGTGCTTCACCATTTGTTTTATGTGATTCAGAATCAATAGTCATAGCTAATATCGAAATAATGTCGGCCAATAAATTTTTAGTCTCTTCAGTCGGCATTTTTTCATACAAATTTTTCAAAGTATCATAATGTGGTCGCAAAAATTTCAATGGTTTCGGTACGGATGTCATCGATGTTGTCGAACTTTTGATCTGTGTTCGCAATGCTTCCAAAGCAGGTTTGTAAAGAGATACATTTGATTCTTCTAAACGATGAACATACAATTCTAATTCTTCTTGCAATGCTTTATCCTCTTCGCTTAATTCTTCTTGTTGAATCTTATCTTTTGGATCAACGGTACCGTTAGCAGATTTTTTGCTTTTTTCGGATTTTTCATTTTCATTCGATTTAGATTTGGTATTTTCTTCAATCTTCATGTTGAATAATTTCAAAATTTAAATGTTTGTTTAATTTCACACAAAGAATTAAGTAAAATCAATGAATTGACAATATCAATCAACACACACAAAAGTTACAATGCAAAAATCAAAATGCTGATTCACGGACTGACAGACAGACAAACACCGATGAATTTTAGCAAGTTAAGTCAATATAGCTGTTGGAGTTAAATTAGTCGCACTAATGAAAAAAAAAATTATTTCATCAACATGGAGCCAAAATATGGTTTATTCAAATTTTCGAAAAATTCGTCGAAGAAAACTGAATTGATTAAAAAAACATCTGTATTTGGCGATTCAGATTCGGATGATGAACCAAATGCTCCGCCAGATTATCATCAATCTTCTAATCTAAAACGGCAAACTCAATCAAAAATTCAAAAAGCAGTGGAACTTGATCCAACTATTTTTCAATATGACGAAGTTTATGATGAAATCAAAAGTCAACAACCAGCGGAAAAAATTATCAGCCAAGTTGATAAAAAACCTAAATACATCAATAACTTGTTAAAGATGGCTGAAACAAGAAAACTTGAACAAGAAATTCGTTTGGAACGAAAAATTCAAAAAGAACGCGAACAAGAAGGTGATGAATTCAAGGATAAAGAATCATTTGTCACTTCTTCATATCGAGAAAAATTAGAAGAGATGAGAAAAACGCACGAAGAAATGGAAAAACAAGATGCAATCGAAAAAATGCTTGATGTTACAAAACATAGTGATCTCAACGGATTTTATCGAAGTTTATATAAAAATAATATGTTTCAAGATAAAAATGTTGCCGATGATGATTCTAAAGCAAATACCAATACAGATAAAATAGTGTTCAATAAATCGAATGTTCGAAACAAGATAAGTATACGTGAAAGAGATACGCTAAAAACCGATGGTTGTAATGATGATGATGATAATGATGATGATCAAGATCATCTAACAAAAGCCGTTCTTGAAAAACCCAACGAAAGTGATAAATCATCTAAAGAAAAAACTAAAAATGAAGAAGAGAAAAAGGAAGTTGAAAATAAAAATGATATTGATATTTCATCCGAATCTCGATCGGTTGGAGAACGAAAAAATCCTGAAGATAAAGGTAATGAAAACGAAGAACCTGAACCATTACCGTCATCACCACCAAAACCAAAATTATCCCGTATGGAATTAATACAAAAATTATTCACCAAACGAACCGTTGGTGATGTATTCGAACAAGCTAGACAACGATATCTTGAACGACGAAAACAAAGTCTTTTAAAAATTTGAATTTTTATTTTTTTTCTTTTGTTATTGATATTTACATAATAAATAATCATAAATTTAATAAATAAATACTTCAAGTCGAGATATTTTTTTCAAATATCAAAAATAAGACAAAAAAAAATTCAGTTAGACTTGAGTCCATTGTGTGGCATTCTGATGATGAAATCGATGTGAATGTGGTGGCCTTGTTAATGGTTGTCCTATGTAAGATAAATGAATTTCAATTAATAAAATTTTCTTTATTTTTAATGAAATTAAACTTACCATTGATTGGATTGATCGGAACGTTAGCGTTAATACAACCACCAGTGGTACCATTGGAAATTTTCAAACCTGTTGTTTCTGTAGCTGCTGTTGTGGTAACAGAATCACCAACATTCATTTGAACATTCATCAATGTGGTTGTAGATGTTTTTGATTTTGAATTCAATAAATTTTTTGCCATCAAAGATTTAACTGGAGAATTTTTAGCCGGCGAAGAAGGTGTTGACGAAGATCCGCTATTATTGTTTGTTCGATTAATACTGGTTGTTAGACCAAATAATTTAAATGCTCGATACAATCGACTAAATCGACCTGGTTTTATGTTATTATCCGTATTATTGTTACTATTGTCAGATTGCGTTTGTTCAACATCATTATTATTCGCCGATTTGATTTGAATTTCAGTATAAATATTTTCTTTTGGTCTTTGATGAGGAATTGGTTGAATTTGATTTGGATCAAATCGTTGATCATTAAAACACATTTTTCGATTGCCATAAATTGATTCTTGTGGTGGAAGATGTTGTATGTTGTTAAGTCTAGCAGTTAATGATTTTGATCGAAGTGGTGGATGTTGCGGTGCTGATTGTTGTTGTTGAAGCGATGGTTGTGCAACGGATGAGATCATTTGTACAGAAGGTGGAACCGATGGTCTTTGATTCAAATATTGATGATGATTAGACTGCATCGGTGTTGTTGAACCATAAATTGGTTCATAATAACCATGTTGTTGTAAAATTATTGGTTTAGCTTGATGTTGTTGAAAATTAAGTACATCAATATAAGGTGAATAATTGCCATAATGAGAATAATCTTGTGATAATCGTGAAGGTCCTTGTATGACCGATGTTTGTTGCATTGGATGATGTATTTGGCTAGTTTTTTGCTGCTGCTGTTGTTGTTGTTGAGCAATTTGTGAATGAAACATGGCCGATGGTGCAAGAGGAAATGATTTCGCTATCAATGGATTCGAATAAATAGCATTGGATGCGGTGACAAAATTATTATCACAATATTGATTTATTGATTTGATTGGAGCTTGTAAGGATTGCGGTGGAGGATGTTGTAGAGATGGAATATTGTATAATTGTCCAGTGACACCATTTGTTGTTGATGGAAAAAAAGCAGTAGTCATTGTGGCTAAATTTGGTGATGATTGATAGCTAAATTTTCTTGCACCTAATTGATCATAAATTGATTCTTGTCCACGATAATTATTATGTTCATAATCAGAACTAAGATGTTGATGCTCGATACGTGATTGCATTCGATTATGATGATGATGTATTGGTTGTGCTACGGTTACAATCAATCGACCTTCAGGTGTTTTGATTATACAGGAATCATCTAAAATATGTTGATATGTTCTCGGTGGTTTTGGTGGAGCATTTCTTGTTGATTCATTCAATGATGGGGGACGATTATTGTTGTTGCGATAACAAATATTTTGATGCAAAGGATTTCGGCTATTGTTAGTATTCGTTGATTCTGAAATCACAGATTGTTGATGTTGCTCTTGTTGAGACTGATGAAAAACTTCAACAGAATTTGATTCAATATTATCAGATTCGATTGCTATTGGTGAATTTTCTGGCGTATCCTGATCATCGGTTGTTGGCGAACTAACATTATCAAAACAAATATCTTGAATTTTAGCACGATTCGATGCAGAGTTTTTCTCCTGATTTAATACCAGATTTGAAAAGTTGAAATTCTTTTTATATACACTTAGTTTAGCCGCACTTAATGTATAGCTTTTTGCTTTACGGCTAGGAAGCTTTGGTTGATTGATTTCTAGATGAAAATTAAAATTAAAATTTCGAAAATTTTCCTTAATACTTTGGCTTCGTTGAAGACGATTTGTGGTTGTTGTTGTATGATTTGTTGACGATGATGGAGATGATGACGACGACGATGATGATGTAGATGGTTGTTGATTTTCAGAATTCTGATCACATTGTTGAGCTTGTTGTTGTGGGGGATTATCAAAAATGGCTTTTAATTTTGCAATGCTAGGTCGTCGTATAACGGTTGCTTTGCCAATTAATTTTTCATGTGCAGGTCTTGCCTCTTCCGTCTGTGAATCATCGGCATCTTGTTGTTGTTTAAACGAATCTTCTAACGTTGGATTCGAATCATTATTACTAGATTTTGTATTAGAATTCGAATCATCATGTTTTTGTTGATCATTTTCTATACTATCTTTTGTAAGATTATGATTATCGTTTGATGATTTCACATCGTCGACTATTGTCAAAGAAGATAATGATGATGATGATGAATTTGATGATATTGAAGATGAAGATGATGATGAAAGAGATTCGTTTTCTTGTACAGATTTTTCTTCATCTATTTCGACAGGAATTGTCAAATTTTTAATACCTAAAGGTTTACCATCACCATCGATGTTTTCATATGTATGTGAATCAATAAGCTTAAGATGTTGTTCGAATAATGTTGAAACAGCTCTATAGCAAAGCATATATTGTTCAACTGTTTGTACCATTGCTATTCTTTGTCGACGCATATCACTAATAATTTCGAATAGGCTAAAATTTTCGCGAAGTTTTCCGGTTCGTAATAATGCCCAAACATAATCAATACTGCATAATGTTCCAGTACGGCCACATCCAGCACTACAATGAACCAATATTGGTCTTGATTCTGTTAATTGCACATCACGCATTAAGCGTACCAATTCTAAAATAGGTTGTACCGAACTTGGAACACCATGATCGGGCCATGTTGTATAATGAAATTGACAAATAGTTCGTTCTTCATTATCGGCAGTAACTTTGAATGTTCGAACTAAAAAATCCGGACAAACCTGTCGCCATTTAACATGTTCGACAGTAATATTACCGTATTGCTGTTTTTCGTCCGTATTTATTGGCCAATATGGTTCACATTTATATTTACCAGCTTCACGTTCATTACAAGCCATTACAATTACCAATACTTCTGTTTCCCAAATCATTCGCCAAAAATCTACCAATGTATTCGGTAATGGACCTTGTGATGCTATATAGGCTCGTTGATTACCCGATGAACCACGAACATAATTAGCGTTAATATAATCCGAACCGGGAACACCAGGATATTCGGACAATATGACACGACTATTATCATCTAAATAATTTATGAATGTATAAATGGTCAAACAATGAGAAATAAATAAAAAAGTGCAACAAGTGTGCTGCGATATATACTTACAAGGAAGAATATCTTTGTAACGATTCTTTTTTCGATTAACTTCACTATGGCCTTCAATCATTGGACAATTAACATCATTTTTAAGTGATTCAGTCAATTCTTTAAGTTTAAGAAATTCTTGTGCATATAATGATAATGGTGGCGGTGTTGATCGTCCAGATTCGGCATATTCTTTAATTGCTTTACGTGATTGTCCAAGACTTGCTTCAAGTTTTTCATAATGTTCAAGAAAATTTTTCAGAACATTTCTTAGTGAAGATTTTCCCATTTTTTTCTCCAGATATTGATTTTAGTTTTAAAATAATTAGATAATTTTTCTGATGATTATCAAATCATTAAAGAATATTTCAAAAAACAAAAAAAATTTCAAAAATAAAATGCACCATAGTAAATCACGAATGAGAAAAAAAATTCAACACATTGATTGAAGAAAACAAAAAAAAATTTCTTTCTTTTCTTTTTTTTCACCTAAAGAATTTGACTTCAGGCAATGAATTTTTGAATGAATAAAAAAAAACGAAAAAATTTTATAATTATTTTTTTTTTACGTCGTGTGTGTATGAATGTATGTTATCATCAACAAATTCGGCATTTCACCACTAGCCATTTGGTTGATATAAGCTCACTCTCGCTATCGCTCATTCACACCGAAAAAAAATTTTTTTTTGAGGTTTGGTGGTGATAATAATTTTCATTACATAAATGTGTATACATGCATGCATTCATGCATGTTTGTTTGTTTGATAACGAATTTTTTTTCTTCTTCCTTTTTACAATTCTTGAATCTATAGATGTGTGTGTGAGTATATATTTGGCTTATAACCAACAACAACAACAACAACAATAATAATAATGGGGGCCGATCTTAAGGACTAGCTTGTTCATCATCATTATTAATATGAATCATTCAATTGAATGAGTGTATGTTAGAGGGAAAAAATCCTGAATGAATGAATGAATGTGGAAAAGAAAGCGCAACAAGTATATATGTGAATACAAGTTTTTTTACCAAAAATGTGTATCGACGACAACAATCTCAAGATTCATTCAACTCACAAACACACACACAACATAACATAACATACATAATACTCGGATATTTGAAAGAAAAGAAAAGAAGAAGAAAAAAATATATTGCGAAGAGCAACAATTGGTGGCTTTGCTTCTCGCCATTTTTTTTTCTTTTCTGATCGTCTTCGCGGTCGAATGGTCTTCAGAGAAAATAGAGAGAGAGAGAGAGATAGATTAAAGAAAAGTTGAAATTGGAATTTTTTTTTTTGAATTTACAAAATTCATTGAAGATTTTGTGCATAGCTTTTATTTCAACCTTATTTAGTGGGTGTGTTAGTCGTAGTTGATGGGGGGATTATTATCGTTATAGTTTTTCCCTTGTATATTGCCCTACATTGAACTAAAAACAAGTGCGCGCGTAAGTCGCGTGTGTGTGTGTTTTTTTTACAAGTCGGTATTGATTCGAATTCTTTATTCAATACAGAACAAAAAAAAACTAGTCTAACCATTTATTTTACCATGAAAAATGAATTCTTTGATCATGGTGTTACGTCGTTTATGTTCGATTCATCACATGCCGAATTGTTTTGCATTTTTTTGTTTCTGTTTTGTTTTTGAAAGTTGATTTGCTCGTTTGTCAAATTATGATTTGAAAAATTTATTTATTTTCATTTATAATTTCAAAGATAATTTAATATCAAAAAAATGAATCCATTAACGTAAGTTAAGGAATGAAAATTTATTATGTTATTAATTGGGGTTTTTTATCATTAAATTAGGAATGTTAAAAATCTTGCAAAACTTTGCGAACGAGAATTAGAGATGGGTATCGATGTTAAACATTCCTGGCATCAAATGTATAAAAATAGTGCATGGATTTTTATTGGTGGTCTACATTATGATCTATCCGAAGGTGATGTATTAGCCGTATTTTCACAATATGGTGAAATTGTCAATATAAATTTAGTTCGTGATCGAAAAACTGGTAAAAGTCGTGGATTTGCATTCCTTTGCTATCAAGATCAACGTTCAACAATTCTGGCTGTAGATAATTTTAACGGTATTAAATTATTGAATAGAATCATTCGTGTTGATCATGTTGAAGAATATAAAATTCCCAAAGAATTTGATGATATCACCAATGAATTAAAAGAATTATATAATGAAGGATGTGCACCGAAACCAATCGAACAACCATCAAAACCCAATTCCAATGAAATTCACCATGAACTAAGTGAAAATCCTAAAAAATCAGAACATCGTCATAAGGATCAAAAACGAAAAAAACAATCACGATCACCCGAAAAATCGAGCCGATCACATCATCGTCATAGTTCTTCATCATCAAAAAAACATAAAAAACATTCAAAATCATCCAAAAAACATAAACATAAAAGATCTAAGCATGATTAGTTTATTCATTTGATTGATTGAGTCATTGATTTTGAATATGTAAAAACTTAAGTAATAAAAAGAAATCAATTACATTTGAACAAACATTTCGTCATTCATTTTTATCAAGAAAATTGGCAGCCAATATTTTTCAAATGTTCGCTTCATCAGCCAGTTTGGATACATTGTAAAATTTATTTTCACAATATTTTTTCTGAATAGCTTGCTGTGGATGTTTATTTGCATATAATCGTAATTGATTCAATGCTTCCAAAAGATTATTCCGTTCATCTAATAATTGTGACACATCACCTTGATTGCCCAATTGTTTTTCATACAATATTGATTGCTGTAAAAAATCTTCAGGAATGATATCAGAAATTCGTAATATTTTACCGGCCAACATTATTGAACATATGGCAATTTCACTTGGATAATACTTTAAAAATGGTGTACATTCTAACATAGTCAATAGATTTAAATACTGTAAACAAAACAAAAAAAAACGTTAAATACAAATAATATAATGGTAATATTGAAAATTACTTTGGCAAGACAATAGATTTGTTTATCCAAAACGAGTTTAGTCGAAAACATTTCCAAAAAATAATTACTTGTTGGTACTGAAACATCAAATGCCAAACCCTGTATACAGGAAAGATAAATGTTAAAAATTGGTTTGAAATTTTTTTTTTCAAAAATTCTACCGTACATTCAATATAGTTTTTTCCATAAGCAATATCTGTGCTTTACTAAAAGAATCATCCGTAATATATACAAAATCAGCCAATTCTGGTGGATAAATTTCTTCATATTTTGATGCAATAAACAATGCTGATGTACCTAATAATTGAAATTCTTGTCTCGTAATAGAATAATTGGATAAAAATCTGTGAAAAAAAATACAATTAACAATATTGATCAAATAAACTTTTTTCAAAAAAATAAAACAAACCGATCAATGTAGTTGATGGCTAGAAAAAGTGTTTCATCTTTTAATTTATATTCATCAGCTACATCGACCAACCAATCGACTAGGATCGAACGCATTTTTGTATTGATATTTTGCTGATTACTCATATAGAATGGATTTGGCATAAATTTTCGTTCTTTTTCAAGCATATAATACCATATGTTTGATGAATAATCGCCAAGTAAATCTAATTCTGGATAATGTTGTACATAACTTATATCCGAATGTATTGATAAATGTGATTGAAAATTTTCTTTTTGATTTTCCAAATCATCATAATCATCGATAATCATATCAGTATCATCATCATTACCAGGGCAGACATCATTCTTTGGATCATTCTCTTTGTCTGATAATGATTTAAAAGATTGATCACAAATCTTTTGGTCATCTGTACCAAGAGATTTTTCTAAAGAATCGATGAGAAAATTGTTTAACTCTTTTTTAACAGCTTCAATATTTTCTTGAAGTAATTCTTCTTGATTTTTACCTGGCTGTTGTTGTTGTTTTTGTTCAACAGGTGTATCTTGAACATCTTTATAAATCTTGAATGTTTGTTGTTGTTGTTGAACATTTTGTGGTTTGAGGTAATCATTTTCTTGATCAACTAAATTCGATGTCGATACTGATTTTTGGAATGTAATAAATGGTTGTGATTTTAATGATTGAATATTCAGTCCATATTGATTATTCGGCTTAAGAACATTTTGTTTATTGATATTGGCAGGATTTTGACTAATACAAGCTAAAGCTTTTCTTTGGCCATTCGGTTGAATTGTTGATCCAAAAGCACGTGACATTTTCTTCACCAATAATGATAATGATAGATTTTTTAAATATGGAATATAAAGAAATGAGATCCGATGATGGTGAAGAATGAATTGAACACTTTAATTAAAATATGATGATGGTAATCAAAATTTAAAAGCAAATATATTCAACCATAATTGTATTTGATAAATGGTAAAAAATAAATAAATGTCGATCGAATAAATAACGAGACCAACAAAAAAAATAATATGTAAATGGTAAAAAAATATTTATGATATTCGGGTTTTTGTTCTCGATCTTAGCAACGGATTTAAAGTTAAAATAAAGAGAAAAAAAAAGAAAAGAAATTCAAACTTGAACCACTAACACAACACTTGACGTTTCATTTTGAAATTTTACTTTCGTCCTTAGAAAAAAGAAAATTGAATTGGCCGTTTGGCTTTGAAACAACCAATCGTGTTTTTCAACGACGAAAGCGCCAAATGTCAACGGGCAATATGTACCAACACATATTGCGCATGGTAGTGGTGGTGGTGTACAAAAAAAAAAGAAAAAGAAAACGAAAAAAAAACCTAAATCGGTTGCGCTTTCTGTTCAGAATCCAGTTGTTCGTTGAAAATATAGTCGTAACTCGCTTTTTTTTGTTTAGATCACTTCAACTTCATATTGATGGTATTAGCTGACTAATGGCGGACAATCGTTCACCGAAGCTTTACTGTAAATTTTCGATCTAAACTTTAATTTTCAAAAAAAAATGTCGACAATTTTTATTGGCTGATCAATTGACACATTGATCCATTATCGTCTGTTCATGGATCGGCAAATTCAAAATTAGGAAATTAGGAAATTTCTAAATTTCTGGAAAATTTTATTTTTAAAGGAAAAAGTATTTTTTCTTTGGAAAAATATTCAATCAAGGTTAAAACAAATTGTTGATGATTTATGGTTCCTGAATTTGAACGACCACTTTGCCAAGATTCTTTCCACCATGTAAATACTGTAATGAAAAATTCAATTATAGATATTATATAATACAAGAAAAACTATTCTCTTACCTCTTCAGCACGAGCTACTTGTTCTAGACCGAAAAATTTACCATCCGAAGTTTGTTCACCAAGATCAACCACTGCTTTAATCTCACCTTTATGTACTTTAGAAATTAATTGGCCAAAATATTCTGGGAAACAATCATGATAATTCAGCAACATAAAACCGGTAACTGAAAGTGATCGCATAAGAATCTGAATATAATGATTTATAATTAAACAAATCAAATTTCAAAAATATTAATACAAATTACTAACTTTAGTTTGAAAATTGGAAATCGGAACATCACCAAAACCATGACTCTGTTCACTACTATAATTAGTGATACTACCAATCACAACCATTCGACCTCTAATGGCTAAATGTTTGAATAATGTACTATATATTTCACCACCGACTGTTTCCCAAACAACATCAATACCATCGGGAAATTTTTCAGTTAAAACTTGATCAATATTATCAGTTTTATAATTGATAATAAAATCAGCACCCAATTGTTTCAAATATTCAGCTTTCTTTTCGGATGATGTCATAGCGATAACATATGCACCACGATGTTTAGCCCATTGTACAACAATTTGTCCAGTACCACCAGCTGCAGCTGTAACAAAAACTTTATCACCAGCTTTTACATGACCAGCTTTATCCAATCCAATCGTAGCTGTTAATCCATTGACATATGTAACCAGATAATTTGGTTTAAGTTCTGGTAATGGAACCAGATTTTTTGGCGAAGAATAAACATATTCGGAAAATCCGCTTGATGTTAATGCCAAAACTGGTTGTCCTTTTTTAAATGTCGTTACATTCGATCCAATTTCATCGACAACACCCAATGCTTCAAGTCCAATATCGAATGGAAGTTTGCCATCAGTAAAATAACGAGCAGCCGTTATATTAATATCGGTTGCATTCACACCAGCAAAAATATTTTTCACACGAACTTCTTCATCTTGTGGTTTAACCAATGGACATTCAACCAATTTGATTGCTTGACGAAAATTCGATGTCTTGGTAAAAACTTGAAGTTTTTTATACATGTTTTATTTTCGGGGATATATCAACCAAAATGAAATGAAATAAAATCACAATTATCCAATCTCAGATTTTGTTATTGATTTTTATATGAAAAAAAAGATTGAAAACAATCCAAAAATAGCTGTTGTTTATTGATTCAATGATTGTATCATCTGTACTCTCTTCTCTCAATTATTAACACATGAGTGCTCGCGTGGGGTATATTTCTACCCCAGATTATACAAAAAAATTTTCTAAGTTCGAAATCGCTTAATGTTAAATCAATGGTGGGGTGAAAAAATACCCCACGCGAGCACTGGCGTTAGGATTTGATGCGCGAGCACTGATGTGTTAATCGTTAAAAACGTAGTGGTAATTTCAATTTGACAAATCAAAACAATATTGAGTATACTTCAAAGTCTGTTTGTTTAGCAACTATCCAAAAAAAACATTGTAACGATGACAATCTTAGAACATGACAATCAAGGTTATGCCAAATTTGCACTTGAAGTAAATGTTCTAAAATATTTCCAAAATAATAATTAATAGAAGTACATGTACTGCAATATAATTAGTTTTAAACATCATTTTTTTTACTAATGAAATTCTTTAATATTCATTACAAAATAAAAAACAAACAAACAAATGAAAAATACAAAAATAATAATAAATATTATTTGGAAATTGTATAAAAATTCAGATATGTATTATTATGTTCATCATCATGATAATGACGAGCTAATTTAATTTTCAAATCATTTTCACCATTTTTAACAGCCAATTCATATAGTTTTCCTTGTAGATCACGTTCAACAAACAAAGTATCCGTATATAAATATCGTAAATAATAATAATAAACAGGAAATGAAAAACCAGTTTCAATAGTAATTGTATCGCCATTTTTAATTGGTTCTTCATTTGTAATAAACATATGACGAAAATAATTCGATCGTTCCATTAGGAATGAACGATGTATGAACAATATACGATCTTGTATTTTTAATCGTATGAATGAAACAGAATCATCATTATCAATAGTACAATCATTGAAATTATTTAACGAAATTAAATATGATGGACTAATAACAAATGATGACAATACTGTCATATCGATAGTCTGTGAATTAATGTATAATGAACATACATCAGAAATCGATGTCAACCAAATGGACATACCACGCCATATACAATATCCATTGTCTGAAACGGCAATAAATTCATCGTATTTTTCATAATTTCTGGCCACAAAAATTTGATTGATTTTCGGACCATTTTCTTCCAATTCACGATGACCATTATTTGAAATTTTTTTTCGCATTTTTCCCAATGGTTCAAGCGAGATTCTAGATTCATTTTTTGAGTTTGATATTTTCTTCCATTTATGTATGATTCCATCATCGGAAAGAGAGAAAAAATAACTTGAAACACCGATAATTTGCTTGATTTTCACAGCCGATGATCCTATTTCAAGTTTGATGAAATCGTGCATAATACCATTTATTTTTCCGATGGCAAAAAATTCATCATCACAGCTACGAAATAATGATCCATAACGATGTGAAGCAATATCAACAATTTTTTTATCTTCCAATTTTGAAAATCGAATAGGATTCGCATGAATATGATCTTCAGTAATCGAACCCCAGTATAATATTTTGCCTTCAGTGGTGAGTGCAATTGTATGGCCATAGCCACAGGAAATGTCAACAATTTTATCGATGATATAATTTATATGTTCACATTCGGTGATGTTTCCTGTACCAAGTTGACCAAGATTATTGCTGCCCCATGTAAATAATTGACCTGATGAATTCAAAGCAACCATATGTTTACCACCTTCTTCTAATCGAAAATCCATTCCGTTTAATAAACATAATTCCATGGGATATTTTTCGATATCTACTTCTACATATTCTTTATTTTTTGAGAATAAGAAACCAGATCCAAATACTCCAAGTTTATAAGATTCGTTGATACCAAAAGCAAAAACAGTGCCACTTCGATCAATCCAAATAATCGAACGACCATAATTGAATACAAAAAATCTATGTATGTTAACAAGTTGTTCATGAGACAATCTTCGAAGAATAGGCCACAAGCCTAAATCGTATGTTCGGTTTTCCGGATCGTACATCATTTTCGTTAATCTTTAATCAGTTAATTATCATCGGACAATAAATGACGAAATTCAAAACAAAGCATATGTTGTAACATAAACACACAGTGATGGGCAGAATGCATAAAAAAAGGAACATTAATTCATGATGAACGATGAACGAAACTATCGATTATTTGTTGAATGAATAAAATTTTGATATTCGAAACCTTTAAATCGAATTGTTTGGCAAAATAACAATCGAATAATGGAAAATATCATTTTTTTTCGAATTCAAAATCGAAAATAAATAAATAAATTCAAAACGCGATTATTATAATAATGGAAAATGGTGAAAAAGCAAAATAAAATTGTCACACTATAATCCCGACAGAAAAAAAAATGTCAACGGCAGATAAATGGATAGAACGATCCATTTTGTTTTTGCCCTATTTTTTTTTCTTCCATCATCGTTATCATTAAAAAAAAGATTTTCAATTGTAAAAGCAAAAATCAACAACAACAACAAAAAATTATTTCAATTGATCCTATTTCGATTTCGTTTCTTTGGGGTTTCCAATTTTCCAATTCAAATTTTTCATCATCCATCATTCCAGTTAACCAAAAAATGAAAAATTTATGCATTCTTAACGCGTCCACACAAGCATTCATGCAAAACACAATCATTCGTTTGTTCATCAATATTTTTTTTTTGTCTGATAACAATCAATTGGATTTAAATTCAGTTTTTTTTTCAATTTTATTCAATATTTCGTCAACAACGAATAATACAAAAAATTCTTCAAACAATCGTTGCAATGTTGTAAGATGGCAGCACTGAGTTGTCATCTAAGTGATTTTTTTTGCCGGGGTGGTGTGGGGGGTGCGTGTGAAAACAATTGGCGACAGCTTGTGTTCGAATCTTTTTTTTTCAGTCCAAAACGACAGCTCGAATTTTTTTATTTTGTCGTTCACTATTAATCGATCCAGAAACAAAATATTACAGTTTTTCTTTTCTTCATTCTTTCTTTATATCTTATTATATATTTAATCTCATCTGTATTTGTCATCTTGATGCTTTCTTTTATTTCATTTCATTCATTTTTATTTTTTGCAAAATGAATTTTTATATTTTCTTTCGATTCTTTCATCTTCATAATCATCATTCTATCATTATTATTCGTTATTTGTGTTTGTTAATTAATTAAATCGCCATTTTTTTTTCGTGGTTGTTTTTTGTTTATCTGTTTTTTTTGTTTGCTTGCTATATTCATTTCTGAATGTTTGTGTAGTCGAGTGTATTCACTCGATTCAAAGTTTTTTTTTTGCCAATCTAATATATTCCTTGTTTTTTCAATTCTTTTTTTTTCTATTGCTGCTTTGTTCACCTCATATTTATCATTTGCATTTAGGATAATGAAAATAATGTTTGAAAACAAATGAATCTAAATGATAATGAAAATTATCGTTCAGCAATTGTTTTCCGATTTTTGTGGCTGAACAAAAAAGAAAAAATCATTATCAACGATGTTTTTTGTTTAGTCGAATGAATAAATCAGAATCATGATCAATGTCAACAAAATGAAATTTTTTTTTTTTGTTCATTTTTGCAAATTCAGTCAAATTTTGTATTATTTTTTTTTTCTAATATTTATTCTGTGGTCGAACAATAATAATAATAATATCCAGCATTTATAGGATTATATTTTTATATATTTTTAACCATTTTTTTTTATTCTTTTACTCCTACACATATAATTGTAAATCTTTTTTTTTTCGTATATTCATTCCATTACATTACATTGCTTATAACCATTCTTTCACAAATGTATCGTTTACTTTTTGATTGTGTGTGTGTGTGTGTTGCAAAGATTTTGTTTTTCCTTCATTATTCTTTATCTAATATTAACAAAAACTATTGCCATGATCAGCGATCATGTCAAAAATATACAAAACGAAAATAACAAAGTTTTTTTGTGTTGTACAAAAATTTACAATACAGACACACACACACATAACATAAAATAAAATGTGGTTATAGTTTGAAAACAAGCAATTTCTTTGGAATAAGACTTTATGATATTCTTGTTTTTCTATCCATAAGCAAACAAAAAAAACGTGCAAAAATTTGTGATGAAACTTCCTTTTAAATGCGTGTGTGTGTGTGTGTGTGTAAGTATGGGAACATAATCAATTCTTTAAATCTTTAACATACCAGAAACAAAAACAAAAACAAAACTTTCAATAGCAAAACCAAAATTATATAATAATAACCCCCCCACTCCCCACCAAAAAGAAAAATATTATGATTGAATAAATAATCAGCTACATAAGCATTATTTTTTTTTTGTTCCATCACTTTGAAAGTTTTCAGTTTTCTGTTTTATATATTTTCTGACCATTCTTATCAGCTGACTGTTTGTGTGTGTGTGTGTGTGTGTGGATGGTTTTCTTTTGGCTTTTCCCGATTTGGCATCATCATCATGATCATGATGGCGAAGAAAAACGATGATGACGAACAAAATATTCTGGAACGAATGGCGAATTTTTTTTCTTTCGTTTTCTTTTTTTTTTGAAAAAAAGGCAACCAAATATTATTTGGTTTTTTTTCTGTATCGGACGGATAAACAGCCAGAAATTCATCGGCAGAAGTGAAAAATTGAATTGATTTTTTTTTTTTTTTTTTTTTTTTGGTTAAAAAAAATTTTTTTAAAAAAAAAAAGATTTTTTTTTAAAAGGGAAAAAGTAATGGGANGATGATGACGAACAAAATATTCTGGAACGAATGGCGAATTTTTTTTCTTTCGTTTTCTTTTTTTTTGAAAAAAAGGCAACCAAATATTATTTGGTTTTTTTTCTGTATCGGACGGATAAACAGCCAGAAATTTATCGGCAGAAGTGAAAAATTGAATTGATTTTTTTTTTTTTTTTTTTTTTTGATTTGGTTAAAGTAAATTTGATTAAAATGAAAATGATTTATATTGAAAAGTGACAATGTAATGGTAATTTATTTTATCCCAATATTTTATTGATCATTTTTTTTGTTTATTACTTCAATCGATCAATGGTTAATTAATCAATCAATCAATCAATCAATCAATTTGTTTTGATTTAATCAATCCGGCTGACTGACTGATTGTAATAAGAAGTGATAAAATGAATTATTTTCATCATAAGAATAATATATCGATTTGTTGTTATTATTTGCCATCAAAAATTAATATCGACAACAACAATAATTAGTTTGTGAAAAAAAAAGATCAATCGAATATTTCTTCTTCTTCTTCTTTTCACTTATTTCATATGAAAGAGAAAAATTTCATGGATCAAATGATTGATCCATCCACATTGCAGAAAAATGATTGCCGATGATTATTGAAGAGAAAAAAGTTTTGCACTTTTTTTTGTTTGTTTGTTTGCCCCTCTGCTTTAATTTCTTTTTGGATCAAAAAAAAAACTTTGATGACAATAATATATATTCGATGACACCATCGATTGATTCGATTTCTTTAATATTTTGAATGTACAATCTTAGCCATTAGCTTAGGGAAGCATAGATAGATTTTTGTTGCTTGGCTTCATTTTCTTCTTCTTTTTTTTTCATTGAAAGTATGGTATTTATATCATCATCGTCAAACATTAATCGGATCCATCATCATCATCATCATCATCATTTCTGGAATGTCGATCCTAAAAGAATATCGACATATTAGAATGAAATGAAGAAAAAAAAAGTCAAAATCGAACAGAGAAAAGACTCAACGTTGAATATACAATACCCCATTCGATCCAACTTAGTAATGTCTTTTTCTTCTTCTTCTTCTTTTTTTCTTTATTCAAGTTTTTTTCCGATACGATGATTTTTTTTTGCCAATATCCTACAGAAAAAAAACCCTGCACAAAAAAAAATCGACTGATCGCGTATACTTATTACTTACGAAAAGAAAAGCAATCAACAACAACAACAACAACAATATATATCGATAGAAGATATGATCATCATTCAGTATCGAATAATATTATCATCATTAATCGACCCAAAAATTTCGATTGGATGTTAGGAACTTGAGGGGAAAAATAAAACAGAGGAGGGAGAAAAATGAAGAATGAAAAATATGTAACACTAACGATGATGATGATGATGATGAGACAGATTGAGATGTCTCCATTACTTTTTTTTATATATATCTTCTTCTGTTTAAGATAAAGACTATGGAAAAAACAAGAAAAATTCCATACGATTTTTTCTTTTTTGCTTTCTTTCTCTATGATTATCAACCATAAAGTAATTTTTTTTCAGTGGGGAAGTTATATAATCTCATACTTTATCAATATGTTTACATTGTATATTGATATTGAAAAAGAGAAAATACGTTAATATTCGATTAGAATGAAACATCCGTTCTTTTTTCGTTGTTGCCACATTGAGAAATACATGTGTGTGTGTGTGTGAAAATAGGAAGTTTAGTGTTAGTGAAAGCTTATGATGACTGTGTGTGTGTGTGTCGCTTATTAGTTTTATTCAACTTTTTTTTCCAGAAAAAAAGTAGGGACACTTTTTTTAGGATTTTTTTCTCTCTCTCTTTCATTTTACAGAATACCAGAATCGAAGAATTCTTTTTCCCATTTCCACATATGTCTGTCATTATTATTATATTTTTTTTTCACAAATTTTTTTCAACCATTATCATTCATGTACAACTTTTGTTCGTTCCCCTTTTCTTTTTTCTCTTTCTCCCTTTATATATTTCAATTTATCCAATCTCTTTGTCGCCAAATTTGCTTGTCCAAAATTTTCTCTCGTGCAAACTTTATACTAGAATAAAATATACTAATGCAACAAAAACTTTGGAAAAAGAAAATATGAATATCACCATTCGATTACATATGATGATGTTAATGAAAGAGTTTGTTGTTGTTGTTGTTTTTTTTCATTGTATCTCTCATTTATATCGGAAATTTTAGAGAATATATATGAAAAAAAAATCAATGACAAAATTGATCATTATATTTTTTGCATTTTAGAATCAGAATCCACTGTTATTGTGTTAGGTCAGCCGATCGATATTGAATGAAATGAAATGAAATAGACTC